CGAAAACATTACAATTACAATTTAAAAAATCCTCATACTCATTAGTAATTCAGTAAGCACTCGAGCAAGGCACCAGAAGGCTTCTCGCCAAAAACCAACTGGCGGACCTCAGGAATGCTCACCTGGTGTTCCCAACACCTGAGCAATACTCCGCAAGCACCGGTGGTCAAACAAAGCCAAGCGCTTAATGTCTTCGCCACGAACTGGCCAGGTCGCTGATTCATTCAGTAAGACCGGCCTTACCGCAGCGGTATACACTTTACCATTAACTGAAAAACTGAAATCCCGCCGTCTCCATAGATCGTTGAATCTGAAAAGCCACATGCGTCTACCTGACTAGCGAAGTAACTTCTTCAGTGATGCGACCACCAGAAGTGACACAGCTACCAAGGTAAGTGAACCAATCCACCACTAGCAGTGGCTGTTTCGTGATAGCTAGAACCGGAGTTGTTTCGGTCCAGTCCTACAACAGCACTATGCACTGTGAAAGTACAAATTAGCTGCCAAAGCGTGCAGCGCTACGCACAAGTCTGCGCAGTAGTGTTTGCATAGCCAATGCATCAGACCCAAGAAGAACTATGCATTGCGTAATCTCTAGGTTTGTCAATCCGTCGGCTGGCAGAACCTCCACTCCAGAATAGTCTAAAAGAACCGGGTCATTCATGATCAGTTTGATCACCAAGTTGAAGAGAAAAGGAGCTATAGGACAAAACTGGCGAACCCCAGGTGTCGTGCGGAACTGAGGAGAGAGTTCCCCGTACACCATTATACGGCCTCGGGAATCACGGTAGAGTGACTTCAGAATGGAAAGGAGTTTAACTGGTACGCCATGCATGGATAGGCAGTGCCACAAGCTGGCGCGGTCAAGAGTCGAAGACGGCTTTCAAGTCAAGGAAAACCACCATAGTCGGTCGTCTGTATGTGTGCCTCTGCTTTAAAATTTAGCGAAGGGTAAATACCTGGTAGATGCAACCATGATCAGGGCAGAAGCCAGCCTGGCTTTCATTGATTCGGTCCTTACGGGGACCAGTAAGTTGTCGAAGAATGATGCCCGTGTGAAGTTTTAAGGCAATGGAAATAAGATAGTGCCTCGATGATTTTCGTACAAAGTACACTGACCCCTTTTGAAGATGGGCATGAAAGTTGATAGTCATCAGTATGGAGGCACTTCTTCAGTGTCCCAAATCGTGTTAAAAAGAGAAGCCAGTCCAGGCAACAAAGAGACACCATTTTTCAGTAGAAGAAAAGTCTTTGGGCCCAGAAGCCCTGTTTTGTTTTAACACGGCGAGCTCGTCGAATCTCTTGCAAAGTGCGAGTTGTGACATCTACTTCCCACGTCAGTTCAGGTGATTCGGCAGGGCGCAGTGCCGCTGAACTGCTCTTCAGGATGTTCTCCCCAACGGGTTAATCGACGACGCTGAAAACGGATCAGCAGTCCATCTTTTACAGCCAATGTTTCGCTTTCTCGGATCCGTGTTCCGGATAAGTTGGAATAGCACCCGGCTGTTTCTAACAGCACTGGCTTTCTCCATCTCACGGGCGTTTGCAACCCACCAACATTCCCGACCAACTCAAAGACTCCTTGTCAGACGTTTCAGGGAGGTAAGAATAAGCTGAAATTCAGTGCCCATCGGAACCTATTTATGCGCTTCGATCAAACTGATCGATGATTCTGAGATCCATTCAAAGTTACGACGTCTCAAGTCGGGTGCACAGCAAGCGTCAAAGGCATTCTTGCAAATAGCAAGTGCTTTCGGTGGTATACTCTTATCAGCAGAATTGTTGGATGTACGTTGCTCTACATACGTAGTCATCAACCGCAGTTCTGAAGATGCCCTTAAGCGGAACTTCATTCATGCAGCACATTCCAGAGATTTATATATAAGTTCCAGTACCGTCGGGGCGTTTGTTTAATGATGAGATGGAGGTAGTTTTGATAATGACCGAACAATGATACCATCGATAGAAAGATTCGCGCGGACATATTTCCGGTCCTCTAAGTCGTGCATTCGGACTTCGTCATCATTAGAGATTGACAGCACGGGTACAGCATGGGTTAAAATAGCTATTTGTCGGTTGCGCACGCGGTGTTTGTTCGGTTCATTTTGTATATCGTTGACGTTCGCTGCAGGGTACATAGTTGAATATGCGTACCCCAGTGGGCCCATTCCGAGGACGATGTGGTGGCAAGAGAAGGACATAGACATCATGCATGGATTCCAGTCATCCACATTAGTGTTTAATGCCACTGGTGCTTAACTTTTGGCACAATGAGTAACAACCATTGCTTAAATGGCTCTATGCTTAGTGGTTTTCGAGTTCTGTTGATTTGTCAATATCGACGTTGTCAAACATGTTTCTGCGGCTGCACTTGATGACATGGTATGAGACGTAGAACTGAGTGTTATTTGGGCAATCGTAGCGATGGATCTGCTTGAATTTACTAATATTACTGACACTAAAATGCTGCGAAAGCACCTTTCCCCTATCTCTGGTCTTATGCAGTAGGATTTGAAGCAGATGGATGCCGCATTAGCCTTGCTTTATTGTTAACGACGAAACTGTTGCGTTAACTTGAAAGTCAGTTGCAGCCAATAAACTGTTGCGTATTCGTGATAGTCTTAGGACACACAGAAAGGGTGGGACAGCTATACACGCGGTACGGTAGTGTTGTGCTGCCTTACTTCGGCTACGGTAAACTTGGCACAGTTCCGATGAAGTAGCTGCGATATTGAGAGCATGCCAAGCGCAAGCTGATATGTTGACGAATCACTGAAGCAATTTGTCAGTTAACAGAGTACCTCACCGATCACTGAGTTCGATTAATATCTCGTAAGGTCAAAGTACTGGATGCGACTGTGAACGCTTGTCAGATTCCCCGCTGGGATGCGTTGCTGCAGTCACAAGCAGTTAAGTAACATGATGAAAATTAAGCTGGGTTGAATGGTCTGTTGCTCACACATCCTAAAGTGCATAAGAGACATTCAAAGCAATTTCTAGTAGTTTCTGAAAGGCTTACTCTTATGTCGGATCATAAATTCAAAACGATTTTGCAAAACTGCTAAGCATTTTTAAGTTACCACAGTATTATAACCGTAAAGCGAAGTGTTAAAACACAGCTGAAACTAAAATCCCTAGCTCGGGGGCTAATCATTATCTCAAACGAAATGCTCCATCTGGTTAGAACATAACAGTGATGTTAGCTTGTAGACAACTGTCACAGATGTTATTTGATTAAAGGTAAGATAAAAGTATTTTGTCTTGAAAAGTGCATGGAATGCTAAAGTTGAATGTACAAATAGCAGACAGTAAACCGTCTGTAGCAGTTTAAGGTATTGCCACTTCAGGTGGCAAGTAAGCAACAAAATGCTGTTAAGCTGATAAAACGCATCACTGTTTCACTTCCAATGTCCCGATGACTAGATGATATAGCTATGTTTATGAGCAGTAAACCAATAATAGACAAAGAAAAGATAACAACAAACTTTTCATACCCACGTAGCATATCTGTGTGATGCACAGAAACACACCCACGTTATTTTTTTGGAGTAAAACGTTCTCAGGTCGCATGGGATGGTTGTCTATTGCCACTGCATGTTTCATCCTACACGTTAATGCAGCATTGACACCCTCCATTATAACTAATTTTTCCAGATATTAATATGGAAGAAGTGACAAAAACGTCGGAAGGTGAGCTAAAAGTTTTCATGTGCGTGAAGAACGTTATCGAGGCCCAGTCTTGTGACTTTGTGTTTAGCAAGATTGCATATAGCCATACAGACAGACAAGTAAGACTGACGAATGTTGATTAAAAAGAGGCGACAGAATAAAGCACTGCCACTTTCAAAGGAGGGACACTATACTGTTATTACGTCCCATTGTACAGCGCAGTCTGAGATTATAGCTCCAGTCAAAAATGCTGCTAGTTACTAAGGAGAATAAGTAGCAAATTACAGCGAGCTTACACATGCCGAAATACACGCGGGTTGCGTGGTGTTTGTTAATGGCAAAACTCCAATGGTGCTGTGACTGATTTCAATTAAACTGAGAACTGTAGAAAGGCTAATAATGGGGTCGGCAAGGGGTGAAAGGAAACAACGAAAAAGAAGGGAGCAACAGTAGTAGCTCGTTTCTACTTACTCTCCCTGCTATATGCAGTTGACAGGGTAACTTTTGGAAACAGCAACGACAAACAAGGATGCGGATGGTGGATGGCGATATATTCATGTGAGTTACTGCCACGGTGCCACAAATCTAGGAGGTATAAAATGATGGCAAACGTCCGGTTTCAAAGAAAAGAATGTCACTACAGTTCGGGCCTATTGTCTGGAGAGGTAGGATGCTGTGTTTATATGACCTCTACTGAGTGAACAATATGGTTGGAGTAGCTTTCATAGCACCTGAAGTCACTAGCTAGTATGGCTCGACAAACTGGAGGTACGGGTAAGCCTCTATGTCCCTGTAAAGTCTAAATGCGTCGCGATGACCGCGATGACTCCCGATCGGGTGAAACAGATTCTCATGGCATTTCCTAATGTCGAAGAGAGCATTCGTGACGAAATTCGTAATGCAGTCTTGCTAGTCGGTTTGATGAGCCGACCTGCGCAAGAACAAACAAATACTTGCGTAAATACATTATCCTCGTGGACAATCTGGTGCCACCAAACAAAGGCAATGCTCCGTACGTGATTAGGGCCAAAGATCTGAGACTAGTTTTGATCAGCAGGCCTAAGGGATCAAGTTTCCCAACAATAAAGAGAACGGCCTTCACTTTGCATACTCACCTTTAATAACCGAGGAAGACCTGAGTACCTTGTCACAGTCTTTTAAATGAATGAATAAGTAGCTATATTAAATACTGTGAAAACCGTCCATCAAAATACATAAGAATCAATAGGCACAGGGACCATGATTTCCATATGGGAATACATTAATGACCCACCCCCACGAGCTTTTCAATTGCGATATGACAATAACAGTTTGTAACCAAATTTCAGAGAATGGAATCCATGGCTCGACGATTGCCACAAAGACCTCCGAGACAAACAGAGGTGAAGTACAGAGCACCAGTGGTGAATCAGGAACATCCACTGCCGCCACAAAGCAAAACACGACTACAAGTGAGCAGGTGTCAAGAGAAATAAAGCTTACAGAGCAAGCCAAGACGATAGTAACAGAAACACAAACACAAGAGCGTCGTAAAACCACACAAAAGGAGATAACCGAAACAGAGGGACGATGGAAAGTGACCGGAAACTACTCAACTAACAGAAACAGTGAAACCAGCAATAACCGCGCTACAACAACTCAAGCGAATCCAGAACCATTTGGACAAACATACAGACAAACAGTGTATAACGAAGAATTTGAAACATCAAAACAAGTGACAACAACCGTCAATGAAGCGAGTGAAACTAAATCACTAAGAAACACGGAGGAAGTCAAAATATCTCCCGCTAATCAAGCCAAAACAACAACAACACACAAGCAATCTGAAGCCCAATATAACCTCACATACCAATCCACATCAAACACACCCACGACAACAACATTCAATGCATTCACCCCAAACACACTCACACTCACGGAAACCCCCAACACAAATACACCTAACGCCACCTACACTTATATTCACAGCGCCATCCCAACAATCATTGCCGTTGCAAGTAATATTCATAGCGCGATCCCAACAAACATACGCGCTGCTACTAACACCGCCAATATCATCGCAACAGAAACACAAACCCAACATCAACCTGAACAAAAATCACAACATCCACACTCCGAAACAAAACCACAAACCGAATCACTATCCGAAACAATTACGATATACGAAGAATCACACGCACCATACACACCATATCAAACACTAACACGCGAGGCAACACAAACCACACTACACACACACATTCCAACGCAATCCTCTGCACATACGTACACAACCAACGCCACCGCGACAATATACAATGAAACACAATCTACTTCACTACACGCTAACACCAAATCAACAATCCGACAATCTGAAGCCCAAACTATCACCACATACCAATCCACATCAAACACAACCAATGAATCTATATACAATGTATCCACCCCAAATATGCCCACATTCACTGAAACACCTTACACAAACATATACAACGCAAGCTACACTTATATTCATAACGCCACACCAACAAGCATTCCCCTCTGCAACTAACACCGTCAATCTCATCGCCACAGAAAAAACACACGCAATACCAATCTGAACCACAATCACAACATCCACACTCCGAAACAAAATCACAAACCGAATCACTATCCGAAACAATTACGACATACGAAGAATCACACGCACCATATCAACACAAACACACACGAGGAAACTCAAACCACACTATACACACACATTCCTACGCAATCCTCTGCACATACGTACACAAACAACGCCACCGCGATAATATACAATGAAACACAATATACTTCACTTCACGCTAACACCAATCAACAACCCAACAATCTGAAGAACAAAATACCAGCACATACCGATCCACAATTCAAACACAACCACTGAATCTATATACAATGCATCCACCCCCAAATATGACCACATTCACTGAAACACCTTACACAAACATATACAACGCAAGCTACACTTATACTCATAACGCCACACACCAAAAAGCATTCCCACTGCAACCCACACCCCCCAAAATCACCGCCACAAAAACACACACGCAATATCAAACTGAACCACAATCACAACATCCACACTCCGAAACAAAATCACAAACCGAATCATTATCCCGAAACAATTACGATATACGAAGAATCACACGCACCATACACACCATATGAAACAAAAACACACGAGGTTACAAAAACCAATCTACATACACACATTCCAACGAAAGCCTTTACTCAAACGCAAACAACCAACATTAGCACTAGCACCGCCGCTACATCACACGCTGAATCACAGTCTACTACTGCTTACGAAAACACAACATCCAAACTATCTGAAGCCAAAACTACCAGCACATACCAATCCACATCAAACACACCCACTGCATCCACTTTCACTGCATCCTCTCCAAACACGGCCACACTCACTGAAACCCCCTACACAAACATATCCAACGCCACCTACACTTATATTCACAGCGCCACCCCAACAAGCATTCCCTCTGCAACTAACACCGCAACAGAAACACACACGCAATATCAATCCGAATCACAATCTCAACATCCCCACTCCGAAACAAAATCACAAACCGAATCATTCTCCGAAACAATTACGATATACGAAAAATCACACGCACCATACACACCATATCAAACACAAACACACGAGGCAACACAAACCACACTACACACACACATTCCAACGCAATCATACGCTCATACGCACACAACCAACACCGCCGCATCACTACACACTGAATCACAATCGACTTCCATCTACACAAACACCAGATCAACACCCCAACAATCGGAAGCACAATCGACCCTCACATCACAGTCCACATCAAAAGCACCCACCGAACTCACATTCACATACACAACATCCACTCCAATAAAGACAGTGTCCACCGAAACCGCTAACGTGAGTACACAAAGCACCAAGTACATTCACACCCTAAGTGCCACCCCAACTATCAATATCAATGAAACGTCCTCCGCAAACCTCACCGCCACAGAAACACACACGAAACGTCAATCCGAATCACAACCACAGACACAACCACATTCCGAAGCACAATCACAATCCGAATCGCTTTCCGAAACATTTACAACATCTGAATTCTCACACGCACCATGCACAGCAAATGAAACACAAACATACGAGACCACAAAAACTACAACATACACTCACATTCCAAATACAACTCAAGCACAAACGCAAACAACCAACATTAGCACTAGCACCGCCGCTACATCACACGCTGAATCACAGTCTACTACTGCTTACGAAAACACAACATCCAAACTATCTGAAACCCAATCTACCAGCACATACCAATCCACATCAAACACACCCACTGCATCCACCTTCACTGCATCCTCTCCAAACACGGCCACACTCACTGAAACCCCCTACACAAACATATCCAACGCCACCTACACTTATATTCACAGCGCCACCCCAACAAGCATTCCCTCTGCAACTAATACCGCAACAGAAACACACACGCAATATCAATCCGAATCACAACCACAACATCCCCACTCCGAAACAAAATCACAAACCGAATCATTCTCCGAAACAATTACGATATACGAAAAATCACACGCACCATACACACCATATCAAACACAAACACACGAGGCAACACAAACCACACTACACACACACATTCCAACGCAATCATACGCTCATACGCACACAACCAACACCGCCGCATCACTACACACTGAATCACAATCGACTTCCATCTACACAAACACCAGATCAACACCCCAACAATCGGAAGCACAATCGACCCTCACATCACAGTCCACATCAAAAGCACCCACCGAACTCACATTCACATACACAACATCCACTCCAATAAAGACAGTGTCCACCGAAACCGCTAACGTGAGTACACAAAGCACCAAGTACATTCACACCCTAAGTGCCACCCCAACTATCAATATCAATGAAACGTCCTCCGCAAACCTCACCGCCACAGAAACACACACGAAACGTCAATCCGAATCACAACCACAGACACAACCACATTCCGAAGCACAATCACAATCCGAATCGCTTTCCGAAACATTTACAACATCTGAATTCTCACACGCACCATGCACAGCAAATGAAACACAAACATACGAGACCACAAAAACTACAACATACACTCACATTCCAAATACAACTCAAGCACAAACGCAAACAACCAACATTAGCACTAGCACCGCCGCTACATCACACGCTGAATCACAGTCTACTACTGCTTACGAAAACACAACATCCAAACTATCTGAAACCCAACCTACCAGCACATACCAATCCACATCAAACACACCCACTGCATCCACTTTCACTGCATCCTCTCCAAACACGGCCACACTCACTGAAACCCCCTACACAAACATATCCAGCGCCACCCACACTTATATTCACAGCGCCACCCCAACAAGCATTCCCTCTGCAACTAACACCGCAACAGAAACACACACGCAATATCAATCCGAATCACAACCACAGACAAAACCACATTCCGAAGCACAATCCCAATCCGAATCACCATCCGAAACAATTACAATATACGAAACATCACACGCACCATACACACCATATCAAACACAAACACACGAGGCAACACAAACCACACTACACACACACATTCCAACGCAATCATACGCTCATACGCACACAACCAACACCGCCGCATCACTACACACTGAATCACAATCGACTTCCATCTACACAAACACCAGATCAACACCCCAACAATCGGAAGCACAATCGACCCTCACATCACAGTCCACATCAAAAGCACCCACCGAACTCACATTCACATACACAACATCCACTCCAATAAAGACAGTGTCCACCGAAACCGCTAACGTGAGTACACAAAGCACCAAGTACATTCACACCCTAAGTGCCACCCCAACTATCAATATCAATGAAACGTCCTCCGCAAACCTCACCGCCACAGAAACACACACGAAACGTCAATCCGAATCACAACCACAGACACAACCACATTCCGAAGCACAATCACAATCCGAATCGCTTTCCGAAACATTTACAACATCTGAATTCTCACACGCACCATGCACAGCAAATGAAACACAAACATACGAGACCACAAAAACTACAACATACACTCACATTCCAAATACAACTCAAGCACAAACGCAAACAACCAACATTAGCACTAGCACCGCCGCTACATCACACGCTGAATCACAGTCTACTACTGCTTACGAAAACACAACATCCAAACTATCTGAAACCCAACCTACCAGCACATACCAATCCACATCAAACACACCCACTGCATCCACTTTCACTGCATCCTCTCCAAACACGGCCACACTCACTGAAACCCCCTACACAAACATATCCAACGCCACCTACACTTATATTCACAGCGCCACCCCAACAAGCATTCCCTCTGCAACTAACACCGCAACAGAAACACACACGCAATATCAATCCGAATCACAACCACAGACAAAACCACATTCCGAAGCACAATCCCAATCCGAATCACCATCCGAAACAATTACAATATTCGAAACATCACACGCACCATACACACCATATCAAACACAAACACACGAGGCAACACAAACCACACTACACACACACATTCCAACGCAATCATACGCTCATACGCACACAACCAACACCGCCGCATCACTACACACTGAATCACAATCGACTTCCATCTACACAAACACCAGATCAACACCCCAACAATCGGAAGCACAATCGACCCTCACATCGCAGTCCACATCAAAAGCACCCACCGAACTCACATTCACATACACAACATCCACTCCAATAAAGACAGTGTCCACCGAAACCGCTAACGTGAGTACACAAAGCACCAAGTACATTCACACCCTAAGTGCCACCCCAACTATCAATATCAATGAAACGTCCTCCGCAAACCTCACCGCCACAGAAACACACACGAAACGTCAATCCGAATCACAACCACAGACACAACCACATTCCGAAGCACAATCACAATCCGAATCGCTTTCCGAAACATTTACAACATCTGAATTCTCACACGCACCATGCACAGCAAATGAAACACAAACATACGAGACCACAAAAACTACAACATACACTCACATTCCAAATACAACTCAAGCACAAACGCAAACAACCAACATTAGCACTAGCACCGCCGCTACATCACACGCTGAATCACAGTCTACTACTGCTTACGAAAACACAACATCCAAACTATCTGAAACCCAACCTACCAGCACATACCAATCCACATCAAACACACCCACTGCATCCACCTTCACTGCATCCTCTCCAAACACGGCCACACTCACTGAAACCCCCTACACAAACATATCCAACGCCACCTACACTTATATTCACAGCGCCACCCCAACAAGCATTCCCTCTGCAACTAACACCGCAACAGAAACACACACGCAATATCAATCCGAATCACAACCACAGACAAACCCACATCCGAAGCACAATCCCAATCCGAATCACCATCCGAAACAATTACAATATACGAAACATCACACGCACCATACACACCATATCAAACACAAACACACGAGGCAACACAAACCACACTACACACACACATTCCAACGCAATCATACGCTCATACGCACACAACCAACACCGCCGCATCACTACACACTGAATCACAATCGACTTCCATCTACACAAACACCAGATCAACACCCCAACAATCGGAAGCACAATCGACCCTCACATCACAGTCCACATCAAAAGCACCCACCGAACTCACATTCACATACACAACATCCACTCCAATAAAGACAGTGTCCACCGAAACCGCTAACGTGAGTACACAAAGCACCAAGTACATTCACACCCTAAGTGCCACCCCAACTATCAATATCAATGAAACGTCCTCCGCAAACCTCACCGCCACAGAAACACACACGAAACGTCAATCCGAATCACAACCACAGACACAACCACATTCCGAAGCACAATCACAATCCGAATCGCTTTCCGAAACATTTACAACATCTGAATTCTCACACGCACCATGCACAGCAAATGAAACACAAACATACGAGACCACAAAAACTACAACATACACTCACATTCCAAATACAACTCAAGCACAAACGCAAACAACCAACATTAGCACTAGCACCGCCGCTACATCACACGCTGAATCACAGTCTACTACTGCTTACGAAAACACAACATCCAAACTATCTGAAACCCAATCTACCAGCACATACCAATCCACATCAAACACACCCACTGCATCCACTTTCACTGCATCCTCTCCAAACACGGCCACACTCACTGAAACCCCCTACACAAACATATCCAACGCCACCTACACTTATATTCACAGCGCCACCCCAACAAGCATTCCCTCTGCAACTAACACCGCAACAGAAACACACACGCAATATCAATCCGAATCACAACCACAGACAAAACCACATTCCGAAGCACAATCCCAATCCGAATCACCATCCGAAACAATTACAATATACGAAACATCACACGCACCATACACACCATATCAAACACAAACACACGAGGCAACACAAACCACACTACACACACACATTCCAACGCAATCATACGCTCATACGCACACAACCAACACCGCCGCATCACTACACACTGAATCACAATCGACTTCCATCTACACAAACACCAGATCAACACCCCAACAATCGGAAGCACCATCGACCCTCACATCGCAGTCCACATCAAAAGCACCCACCGAACTCACATTCACATACACAACATCCACTCCAATAAAGACAGTGTCCACCGAAACCGCTAACGTGAGTACACAAAGCACCAAGTACATTCACACCCTAAGTGCCACCCCAACTATCAATATCAATGAAACGTCCTCCGCAAACCTCACCGCCACAGAAACACACACGAAACGTCAATCCGAATCACAACCACAGACACAACCACATTCCGAAGCACAATCACAATCCGAATCGCTTTCCGAAACATTTACAACATCTGAATTCTCACACGCACCATGCACAGCAAATGAAACACAAACATACGAGACCACAAAAACCACAACATACACTCACATTCCAAATACAACTCAAGCACAAACGCAAACAATCAACATTAGCACTAGCACCGCCGCTACATCACACGCTGAATCACAGTCTACTACTGCTTACGAAAACACAACATCCAAACTATCTGAAACCCAATCTACCAGCACATACCAATCCACATCAAACACACCCACTGCATCCACTTTCACTGCATCCTCTCCAAACACGGCCACACTCACTGAAACCCCCTACACAAACATATCCAACGCCACCTACACTTATATTCACAGCGCCACCCCAACAAGCATTCCCTCTGCAACTAACACCGCAACAGAAACACACACGCAATATCAATCCGAATCACAATCACATTCCGAAACAAAATCACAAACCGAATCATTCTCCGAAACAATTACGATATACGAAAAATCACACGCACCATACACACCATATCAAACACAAACACACGAGGCAACACAAACCACACTACACACACACATTCCAACGCAATCATACGCTCATACGCACACAACCAACACCGCCGCATCACTACACACTGAATCACAATCGACTTCCATCTACACAAACACCAGATCAACACCCCAACAATCGGAAGCACAATCGACCCTCACATCACAGTCCACATCAAAAGCACCCACCGAACTCACATTCACATACACAACATCCACTCCAATAAAGACAGTGTCCACCGAAACCGCTAACGTGAGTACACAAAGCACCAAGTACATTCACACCCTAAGTGCCACCCCAACTATCAATATCAATGAAACGTCCTCCGCAAACCTCACCGCCACAGAAACACACACGAAACGTCAATCCGAATCACAACCACAGACACAACCACATTCCGAAGCACAATCACAATCCGAATCGCTTTCCGAAACATTTACAACATCTGAATTCTCACACGCACCATGCACAGCAAATGAAACACAAACATACGAGACCACAAAAACTACAACATACACTCACATTCCAAATACAACTCAAGCACAAACGCAAACAACCAACATTAGCACTAGCACCGCCGCTACATCACACGCTGAATCACAGTCTACTACTGCTTACGAAAACACAACATCCAAACTATCTGAAACCCAATCTACCAGCACATACCAATCCACATCAAACACACCCACTGCATCCACTTTCACTGCATCCTCTCCAAACACGGCCACACTCACTGAAACCCCCTACACAAACATATCCAACGCCACCTACACTTATATTCACAGCGCCACCCCAACAAGCATTCCCTCTGCAACTAACACCGCAACAGAAACACACACGCAATATCAATCCGAATCACAACCACAACATCCCCACTCCGAAACAAAATCACAAACCGAATCACCATCCGAAACAATTACAATATACGAAAAATCACACGCACCATACACACCATATCAAACACAAACACACGAGGCAACACAAACCACACTACACACACACATTCCAACGCAATCATACGCTCATACGCACACAACCAACACCGCCGCATCACTACACACTGAATCACAATCGACTTCCATCTACACAAACACCAGATCAACACCCCAACAATCGGAAGCACAATCGACCCTCACATCGCAGTCCACATCAAAAGCACCCACCGAACTCACATTCACATACACAACATCCACTCCAATAAAGACAGTGTCCACCGAAACCGCTAACGTGAGTACACAAAGCACCAAGTACATTCACACCCTAAGTGCCACCCCAACTATCAATATCAATGAAACGTCCTCCGCAAACCTCACCGCCACAGAAACACACACGAAACGTCAATCCGAATCACAACCACATTCCGAAGCACAATCACAATCCGAATCGCTTTCCGAAACATTTACAACATCTGAATTCTCACACGCACCATGCACAGCAAATGAAACACAAACATACGAGACCACAAAAACTACAACATACACTCACATTCCAAATACAACTCAAGCACAAACGCAAACAACCAACATTAGCACTAGCACCGCCGCTACATCACACGCTGAATCACAGTCTACTACTGCTTACGAAAACACAACATCCAAACTATCTGAAACCCAACCTACCAGCACATACCAATCCACATCAAACACACCCACTGCATCCACTTTCACTGCATCCTCTCCAAACACGGCCACACTCACTGAAACCCCCTACACAAACATATCCAACGCCACCTACACTTATATTCACAGCGCCACCCCAACAAGCATTCCCTCTGCAACTAACACCGCAACAGAAACACACACGCAATATCAATCCGAATCACAACCACAGACAAAACCACATTCCGAAGCACAATCCCAATCCGAATCACCATCCGAAACAATTACAATATACGAAACATCACACGCACCATACACACCATATCAAACACAAACACACGAGGCAACACAAACCACACTACACACACACATTCCAACGCAATCATACGCTCATACGCACACAACCAACACCGCCGCATCACTACACACTGAATCACAATCGACTTCCATCTACACAAACACCAGATCAACACCCCAACAATCGGAAGCACAATCGACCCTCACATCGCAGTCCACATCAAAAGCACCCACCGAACTCACATTCACATACACAACATCCACTCCAATAAAGACAGTGTCCACCGAAACCGCTAACGTGAGTACACAAAGCACCAAGTACATTCACACCCTAAGTGCCACCCCAACTATCAATATCAATGAAACGTCCTCCGCAAACCTCACCGCCACAGAAACACACACGAAACGTCAATCCGAATCACAACCACAGACACAACCACATTCCGAAGCACAATCACAATCCGAATCGCTTTCCGAAACATTTACAACATCTGAATTCTCACACGCACCATGCACAGCAAATGAAACCCAAACATACGAGACCACAAAAACTACAACATACACTCACATTCCAAATACAACTCAAGCACAAACGCAAACAACCAACATTAGCACTAGCACCGCCGCTACATCACACGCTGAATCACAGTCTACTACTGCTTACGAAAACACAACATCCAAACTATCTGAAACCCAACCTACCAGCACATACCAATCCACATCAAACACACCCACTGCATCCACTTTCACTGCATCCTCTCCAAACACGGCCACACTCACTGAAACCCCCTACACAAACATATCCAGCGCCACCTACACTTATATTCACAGCGCCACCCCAACAAGCATTCCCTCTGCAACTAACACCGCAACAGAAACACACACGCAATATCAATCCGAATCACAACCACAGACAAAACCACATTCCGAAGCACAATCCCAATCCGAATCACCATCCGAAACAATTACAATATACGAAACATCACACGCACCATACACACCATATCAAACACAAACACACGAGGCAACACAAACCACACTACACACACACATTCCAACGCAATCATACGCTCATACGCACACAACCAACACCGCCGCATCACTACACACTGAATCACAATCGACTTCCATCTACACAAACACCAGATCAACACCCCAACAATCGGAAGCACAATCGACCCTCACATCACAGTCCACATCAAAAGCACCCACCGAACTCACATTCACATACACAACATCCACTCCAATAAAGACAGTGTCCACCGAAACCGCTAACGTGAGTACACAAAGCACCAAGTACATTCACACCCTAAGTGCCACCCCAACTATCAATATCAATGAAACGTCCTCCGCAAACCTCACCGCCACAGAAACACACACGAAACGTCAATCCGAATCACAACCACAGACACAACCACATTCCGAAGCACAATCACAATCCGAATCGCTTTCCGAAACATTTACAACATCTGAATTCTCACACGCACCATGCACAGCAAATGAAACACAAACATACGAGACCACAAAAACTACAACATACACTCACATTCCAAATACAACTCAAGCACAAACGCAAACAACCAACATTAGCACTAGCACCGCCGCTACATCACACGCTGAATCACAGTCTACTACTGCTTACGAAAACACAACATCCAAACTATCTGAAACCCAATCTACCAGCACATACCAATCCACATCAAACACACCCACTGCATCCACCTTCACTGCATCCTCTCCAAACACGGCCACACTCACTGAAACCCCCTACACAAACATATCCAACGCCACCTACACTTATATTCACAGCGCCACCCCAACAAGCATTCCCTCTGCAACTAACACCGCAACAGAAACACACACGCAATATCAATCCGAATCACAACCACAGACAAAACCACATTCCGAAGCACAATCCCAATCCGAATCACCATCCGAAACAATTACAATATACGAAACATCACACGCACCATACACACCATATCAAACACAAACACACGAGGCAACACAAACCACACTACACACACACATTCCAACGCAATCATACGCTCATACGCACACAACCAACACCGCCGCATCACTACACACTGAATCACAATCGACTTCCATCTACACAAACACCAGATCAACACCCCAACAATCGGAAGCACAATCGACCCTCACATCACAGTCCACATCAAAAGCACCCACCGAACTCACATTCACATACACAACATCCACTCCAATAAAGACAGTGTCCACCGAAACCGCTAACGTGAGTACACAAAGCACCAAGTACATTCACACCCTAAGTGCCACCCCAACTATCAATATCAATGAAACGTCCTCCGCAAACCTCACCGCCACAGAAACACACACGAAACGTCAATCCGAATCACAACCACAGACACAACCACATTCCGAAGCACAATCACAATCCGAATCGCTTTCCGAAACATTTACAACATCTGAATTCTCACACGCACCATGCACAGCAAATGAAACACAAACATACGAGACCACAAAAACTACAACATACACTCACATTCCAAATACAACTCAAGCACAAACGCAAACAACCAACATTAGCACTAGCACCGCCGCTACATCACACGCTGAATCACAGTCTACTACTGCTTACGAAAACACAACATCCAAACTATCTGAAACCCAACCTACCAGCACATACCAATCCACATCAAACACACCCACTGCATCCACCTTCACTGCATCCTCTCCAAACACGGCCACACTCACTGAAACCCCCTACACAAACATATCCAACGCCACCTACACTTATATTCACAGCGCCACCCCAACAAGCATTCTCTCTGCAACTAACACCGCAACAGAAACACACACGCAATATCAATCCGAATCACAACCACAGACAAAACCACATTCCGAAGCACAATCCCAATCCGAATCACCATCCGAAACAATTACAATATACGAAACATCACACGCACCATACACACCATATCAAACACAAACACACGAGGCAACACAAACCACACTACACACACACATTCCAACGCAATCATACGCTCATACGCACACAACCAACACCGCCGCATCACTACACACTGAATCACAATCGACTTCCATCTACACAAACACCAGATCAACACCCCAACAATCGGAAGCACAATCGACCCTCACATCGCAGTCCACATCAAAAGCACCCACCGAACTCACATTCACATACACAACATCCACTCCAATAAAGACAGTGTCCACCGAAACCGCTAACGTGAGTACACAAAGCACCAAGTACATTCACACCCTAAGTGCCACCCCAACTATCAATATCAATGAAACGTCCTCCGCAAACCTCACCGCCACAGAAACACACACGAAACGTCAATCCGAATCACAACCACAGACACAACCACATTCCGAAGCACAATCACAATCCGAATCGCTTTCCGAAACATTTACAACATCTGAATTCTCACACGCACCATGCACAGCAAATGAAACACAAACATACGAGACCACAAAAACTACAACATACACTCACATTCCAAATACAACTCAAGCACAAACGCAAACAACCAACATTAGCACTAGCACCGCCGCTACATCACACGCTGAATCACAGTCTACTACTGCTTACGAAAACACAACATCCAAACTATCTGAAACCCAATCTACCAGCACATACCAATCCACATCAAACACACCCACTGCATCCACTTTCACTGCATCCTCTCCAAACACGGCCACACTCACTGAAACCCCCTACACAAACATATCCAACGCCACCTACACTTATATTCACAGCGCCACCCCAACAAGCATTCCCTCTGCAACTAACACCGCAACAGAAACACACACGCAATATCAATCCGAATCACAACCACAGACAAAACCACATTCCGAAGCACAATCCCAATCCGAATCACCATCCGAAACAATTACAATATACGAAACATCACACGCACCATACACACCATATCAAACACAAACACACGAGGCAACACAAACCACACTACACACACACATTCCAACGCAATCATACGCTCATACGCACACAACCAACACCGCCGCATCACTACACACTGAATCACAATCGACTTCCATCTACACAAACACCAGATCAACACCCCAAGAATCTGAAGTCCAGGCTACCTTCACATACCAACCTACATCAAACGCACCCACCGAGTCCCTCCCCACCTCCACCACATCCAGCCCGAACACGGTAAAAATCAGTGAAACAACTAATATTAATTTGCTCATTCCCACGTACGCTCGTAACCACAGCGCAATTCCCACAAGCAGTCCCTACAGAACTATCACGGCGAATGGCACAGCCACAGTACACACGCAATCTCAAGCAGAATCACACTCACAACCACAAGCCCATTCCGAATCACAATCGCAGTCGCAATCCGAATTGCTTACCGAAACTGCTACATTATCCGAAAGATCACATACACCATACACACATTTGGAAAGTGAAATAGAAACGAATGTTGTTCGACACTCGGAAACACACCCACCGCTGACTCTACTCATTCCGAACCGTACTCTCACTTACCCTGTGACCGGCGCATCTTTGCATGCTCACTCACGCAATACGTTCCACATTGTCTCTGAAACGGGACGCGCAACTTACGCTTCTACCGGACCCGCCATTAACACGGAAACACAAATGCAGTCGCAAACACCAACATTGATTCCATCCGAGGTCAACACTCCAACTATGACAGGCACATCAAAACAAATACGCACGCAAACGCAATCTGAATTCGAAACCGCAGGCGCATCTACCTCCGCTACAACAACGGAAACAGGAGCGAAGACACTAGCAGAACTTGGAACGGGATCTGAATCTGAAACTCAGTCCGTACCTCAAGTAAAATCCGAGTCGGAAAGGCAATCGGAAGCAAAAACCGAAATGGAAGCCACGACGCAAACAATGACAGTGACGCAAGTTCCCACAACGACCAAAATTCAAAAAGAGAACACTGAAATCAACACATCACACAGTGCACCGCATACATACAAACAAACAGTATATAACGAAGAATTCGAAACCTCTACGCAAGCAACCGCAGCCACATATATAACAAATATTACGACCCAGAAGTACGCTACAGAGACAGTAAAAGCCTCGGAAGCCCAGGCCGGTACGAAACAGGAAACTGCAACGACACAGTATCAGGGTGCGCACATAAGTGTTCAGGCAGACAAGACAACACGAACTGGACACGAAGCTGAGACAACATCCATCAAAGGAACACAAAGCCCAAAACAAGAAGCAACAATTGTCAAGATTACGGGCGGTATTACCATTCCACTAGCCCATGTACAGTCAGAACCAGAAGCGAAATCAGAGGGAATGTCAGAAACATACATAACCACCAAAACTGTAAATATCGCCAACACAACGGGAACGCACACCAACACCGCGACCGGCCCCCACAGAACTTCCGAACCAGTAATTAAATTAATAAAGCCGACAGGAAGATTGACTGCCGCCGATACAGAAACGCGTACCTTTTCATTAAGTTTCAGTGCTACAGTTGTGCGGACACTTGCGCACAATGACACCACAGCCACAATTGAAAGCAGCTCAACCGGCCAATCGCCCAGCAATAATGCTAATGGCACGGTTGTATCTGGATTTTACGAAATCGCAAGAAGCACTACGAATGCGAATGGCACACATTATCACACAGAAACCAAGCTAACTAGAACCGACATTTTCGGAGGTTCTCGTAAGTCGTCCGCTTCAAATGGTCCCGAGAGTGAGAGGTCTATCACTTCGGTGTACACAATACCAATGACTACAACAACGTCAAACGGCACAACAATTATGGCAATTGGAACTATTACTGCAAACGAGAACACACAAGCAGCTGGTATTGGATCCGAAAGTATGGCTGAAGAACAAGTAGAAGGAGTCACCGTAGAGGAAGTTCAGGTTCAACCACAAAGCCAGAGACCGAACCTGAACGAATTCCAAACAACAGAACACATTGGAGTAGGACACAAAATCCAAACGGACACGCGTAGGCCCCCACCCACATACAAACACACTGCGGTTGTCACCAGCAGTATGCCCCTTACGCAACAGCAACCAGAAGCGCAAACACAATTGCAGCCACAAACACTTTGGAAGACAGATAGTGGCGTGCAAGGCAAAGTTCAAACCGGCACTGAAACAGAGATGGAATTCCGAACAATACTCTCCACTCGCAAGCCAACCGGGTTCAACCCTCGGACACAAGCACAGGGCAGAAAGGACTCAAGTAAGTGATGAACACAATGATTGGTATACCATTACTTATTGATGCTTTAATTAGTTCAATTCAGCAATTCGAATAGCACGGAAAGAAGAGGAAGGCTGGTAGATGCATGCATTTCGTATTGTGTCCACAGTACCGTTAACAATAACCGGTAAGCACAGATATAACTTACAGTGGGTGCGACCACCAGACAAGAGTGATGTGCGGAATGAATGAAGGAAGTTCACCACAACGTCCAGAGCAGCTTTAGGCTGATAAATAAGTGTTTCTGAACCCACACGGCTGACTTAATCCGGCTTATAGCGACAGTCCGAGTAAACCGAAGGAAGCGTGAATTGTATGAGGGAACACAGCTTTGAACGCCGAGCCTAGATCTATCCGTGACTCGAGACCAACAAGTGTTTGCCTATCGAGGAAGCCGGCGGCCTACGCGAGCACGGAATTTGTGGACGGTAGAGAATCTGGGCAATTTCATGCTGAACCCATCTCCGCACATGCTGCTTTATTCGGGAAGTCAGTGTCCTATCAATTCTTATATAAACGTCTCTGCAGTCACACACAAATTGATGTGCACAGTGTTGGAACCGATAAGCTGAGCCTCCTTCAGTGGAGGTATGGGCAAGTTTCGGGTTTGGTTTATGACAACTCGTACAGCATAGCAACTTCCTTCCTCGAGAGAAAGAAGCAATCGTCCTCACAGAAAGTGAGAAGTCTATCGCTGTTCTGAGAGCGACTCTTATCGAGAGCATGACGGCCACCAAGATGACGTTCGCTTGGCAGCAAGCGACCGAAACGTGCATTGAAATTACAAGTGAAGACAAAGAGGTCTGATTTTTCGGCTTTGCTCAATAGTTTGAGGAGTCCGCGATAACAGTCGCCCTTAGCGGACGCACAACTGCAGTGGATTGGAGCGTATGCAAAGATCACAAGCAAATTGCGTCTCTTCCCAAAATGATTGTTGATGTTACATGAGTCTCGAAGCCGAACCTTACGTAGTCGAGTGTCAATCGGAAATCAATCGAGCAGCCACGCCATAGCTTTATCACTCAATGCGATGCCAACTGCAGCCAAGCCAGTGGTAGCTGCTTTTGCGTCGCCAGATAGACGCAGACATTAAATTTTTGAGATCAGCAGGGGATATCGAATTAACCTGTAGTCAAGTTCAAAAAAACAGCTAATATTGATTTCGAGAGACTCTATTGGGTGCACTAGGCCAGCCTGCTGCCGGATCTCTGTGAGGGTTCGAGCACTGAGGGTTGCCAACCGGAATGAAGATCGCGGTCGAAGGAGGACCTTGAGTATGGGAGACGGGTAAAGGAAGTGGATTTAAAAGAACATGAAACAGTAACCAAAGTAACTATGGCGCGTGATGGAAGTGCAGGAGCAGTGAAGAAGGCCGAGGCACAAGAGGAAGCTACGTAGAGCAGTAGTTGCGGAATTGATGACTCTATCAGAGGGCGAGATATTACCCGGTTGCCCAAGCTGAAGTAGGGTGCTGACTTAGGAGACATCACCCCGAGCCCTTGGCTAAATATCTTACGAAGTAAAAGAGCGAACGCCTGGAATCGCACCCACTGAGAGCCGGCGACTGATTGTCCAGCTCATACGCCTCCCGTTTGGTCGGTTACCGAAACGAAGGTCCAATTTTCGCCAATAGTAGTAAGAGGATGCTTCATAGGCATGAAGCAAGGGGCAGCAACTACAGTTAGTGGATAGCAACATCCGTCACAACATGGTTGTTAAGAAGAGAGAACGCTCCCTGGGCGAAAACCAAATGTCCTGGAACACTGCAGTGAATTGTTCGCTGGCATTAATAAATAGTTAATTCTCGGCAATGTAAGACACGTACAAATTGGCATGATCACGGAAAAAGCAACGAATGATCCGTAAACGTACAAGATCACCAATTTGCATGTTCTGTTTATTCGTTATCATTAGTTATTCGCGCAGGACATTCCCCGTTTATTCTGTTTTTTTCTACGGTTTGCGTTGCTAGCTGGTTGATATCCCTTGAGTTACATTTACACTGGCCCAAAATCACCGTTACACTCGATCAGACTTAAGGAATATATTGTATTCGCTCTGTTCTGTTGTGTTGACGAACATTTACCGTTCAGTTTGAGTGTTTATTTTCTTTCATACTATGTTTGTTGTTTGATATCCCTCAGTATGGCTGCGCCTGAGGCGAATGTTGACAAAGTGCCTACCCATGGAAAAACCGCCACCTCGATCATACTGACTCCACGGGACAGTTGGTCGTTGCTAGGGGAGAAGGGGTGCACGGTCCTCATGACCGTGCAAGGCACAAAGAAAGGTCCCATCCAATGTGCAGCAGACTACGACCCGGTCACCGCCTTGGGTACGTCTAATACGCATAATTCCCCATTTAGACAGAGGAATGTTGCTGCTGTGCATGTTAAAGGAACGTGGGCCGGCTTCATTGAAGCGTGGCTCCCATCCACCTGTCTTTTGGTCCCATTCCTTCAGGTCTACACCGGATATGCGGGGTACGGATGGAACTATGGGTAGTGTAGCGTAAGTCAAACACGCTCCCACAAAAGGCGCAGGCGTCCTGTGGATGTACTACGGAAGCTAAAGTGACAGGCAAATCCAAAACTGGATGCCACCAACCATGTGAGTGTAGGAGTAGGTGTTCTGGTATCGTAGGGAGAGCACTTTGCATTTGTTCAAGTTGAATAGCAGTAAAATTCGGATGGACCACTGATGTACCGCAACTAGGTCACACTGAAGCAAATGCTGGTCGGAACTCACAGGAATCCTGCGTCATATCTTGGCGCTGCCGGCAAACAGTAAGAAATTTGAAGTGACTGTGTGATGTCATTAATGCACATCAAAACCAGCCAGGGCCCTATAATTGAGCATTGTAACACACTGCACTCCACTTGTATGGGGTTATGTAAAGCGCACCGAACTCTGACCACTTATGGCCGATGGATAAACTTGGCGATCCAGCTCAGGAGATCACCGATTCCGGAATAATGGATCTTGGAAAGGAGAATCTGATTATCTAGACGATCAAATGCCTTTGAGAAATCCAGGCGGATCACGTGAACGTCCTCTTCGGAGTTAGGCGACTCGGTCCACCTACACCGCGCTATTAGTAAGTTCGATATGCACGATCACGGCCGACGGAAGCCGCGCTGCAGCGGAGCAGTAATGTTGGATTTCCAGATAGCACACAAACGCATCGGCAGTGATGGATTCCATGACCTTGGACAGTAGTTGGAGAAAATATGCTGAGCGATAGTTAGAAATTAATGCCCTGCTTCCTCCCTTGTGAATTGGAATAATTATTCAGAACTCAAAAGCAGGAATCTGGATCTGGTCTAACTAACACTGAAAGGACAGCCAATGTCGCTACCACTTGTCCTGTTACTGCTCCTAGTGCTTCTAGACTAATGGTTTTGACACGAGGGGAGATGTGATTGCGCAGAGACGTCAGTTTCCGCAAGACAACTTCCGCGGTAAAAGAGATGTGGTTTAGTACTGGCGGCAACGAGACAAAATCTGCATCATCGACTGATGACAAGACCTACTGAAATGTTGGAATGTATTGCGTACGCAAAGCGTAAGCTGCTTCAGTGGCCGCTTTAGTTGGGCCATCAGCGGACCAGAACGAGGGAAATCCTTGCCTCATCTTTCCAACGCCAGAGAAGTTCGTATAGAGCATTTTGTGGTTGGCACTAGAGGTTTATACCATGTTCTGCTGTTGTACAGCTTTCTCTTCGTTGAGCATTTGAGTGCAGTGGTTAAGTTGGGCTACATGTTAGTCCTAAGTATCTGACGTTGGAGATAACCTATACGCTCGCTATGCTGCGTTGGGCATTTTCCTGCATTTGTGCGTTCTGTTCCTTATAATATAAGCCGTTTTAGGCCCATCGCAAACCCTAGTCGCTTAAGTAGCTGCTGACGAATTCCAGTGAGACGATTTTCAGGGGGTCTTCGGTGGGGAACGGTTAGGTTATGACACTGACGAAGACAGCTAAGCGGTCGTAGTATCGTGAGCCATCAGGGCTCTCATTTTGAAATTCTGCATTGCACATTAAGTTGTAACTGATGACTATATGATCACTGGAACTTAAAGGGCAACCTACAATAATACATCAATCATGTGCTCCTTGCTGGTGAACACAAGCTCTAGCATATCCTCACCAACAGCAGTACATCAGCCATTTGTACTGATGCTTCGCTGCCATACAACCATAACGACCTACGGAACGAAGAATACGAAGAGGGAGAGAAGGGGGACTTAGAAAACATTAATGCCCTGAGCAAACATTCAGGGTTAAGGTGCCTACACCTTGTGTTAACAACATACCGTCACAAACAGCTGGCTATCGTGCAAAGATATGGCGGCATCGGCGAGACAGCTTCCTTGCGGATTTCACTGCCCCGCGTCATAATCAGTCATAACCCTGCACATAACTCAGCGCCAAACACACTTGAAAAAAACAGGCAGTCCGACTAGGAGACGGCAGCAGACGCGCCACTCGTGTCGACTACAAGTCATGTCCTCTAAAGTTTCGAGCGAAACATAATGCGAGTCACGTGGACTCCAGCCCGGAAGGTGAGACGGACCGAGCGCACCCAGTTTGGTCGCCAGTGACTTCATTTCCCGCTGCCAAGTCAACTTCTGTCCACCTCGAGTCTTGCGTCACCCTACACCTGGCATACTAAACAAGGCCCTCCTCGGTAAGCGGTGATCAGGCATACGTAGCACGTGCCGGAGCCAACGCAACTTATTTAGTGCTATCAGTTGTTCTAGGGAGCTAGCACGATTATCACTACCTAGTACTCGCCTACGCACATCATCGTTGCGGACACACTGGTGCCATCCGACACCAACAATGCTTCGCAGACAACGATGAGCAAAGACTTGAAGCTGCCTCAGATCTTCAAACCGAAGGGGCAAAGTTTCATCACCAGAGAGCAGAACGGCCCTCACTGTGGCCTTGTATACACGGCCTTTCAGACGTAGGGAA